TTTTTCATATATATATATATATATATATATATATATATATATGATATTTATTAAATATATAAAATATATGAAAAATTGATGTGGGTACTCAAATGAAAGGTCTCGATGAGTATAACATCGGAATGAGCTTATATCATTAAAAACATCATTAGTTAGTAAAATGCAACGGTCATTCCTTAAATATTAACATTTTCGTAAATATAAGTCCATTTTAATGTTATACTCATCAAGACCTTTCATTTGCGTACCCACATGAATTTTATATATATGATATTTATAATATTCAATATATATATATAAAAATAATAGCTAATAGTACTAAAAATTATGATTATCATTAAGGTAAATTTTTATTTATAATATTAAGTTAATTGAATAAAATTTACTTAGAATGATAATTGTTCAAGATATTGTTAGAATTAACTATAATTGAGCAACAACTAATCACTGAGATGTGTAATTTTTCATACAGCTGAGGTGTAAAGAGCAATTGCAGCGCCGCCTCAAAGTCGATCGACAGTGCTGTTACTTAGATTAATTTTTACTGGAACTAATTTATTTAATTTTTCACGTTTATTATTTTTAACCTTAATACTACCGTAAAAATCAATAGTATTTTTCTATATTTTTCACATTAAATTTGTGAATAATTATCGAAAGAATTGTAATTAGATTAAGAAATTCAGAATATCCCCCAGGATTATTGTAATTTTCACGATAATTTTTAAAGAAAATTTCTTTCTGTGGAAAGTACTAATCCTCTGGATGATAATAACTAATAATAATAATGATAACAATAACGCTAACAACACGGAATGTGTCTGAGGAAATGAAATGACTGGGTCAACACGTAAATTCCCAGGACAATGTCTCACTGTCTCTCGAGCAGTTCTTACTCAGTGGCATAGAGATTACGATTTAAATCCACCGGAATAAAATTGATCGTACTCTCTTGCACACACACACACCCACACGTATATTACTCTAGATCCATTAATACATATTATATACACCCACGCGTATATATGTGCACATAGAATCCTCACTCTAACTCACTAAAAATAATCCGTAGTACCTACAATAGAATAACAGCGATAGTAAGGGACTATTTCACTAAATCACAAACGAGGACGTTATGTGGGTGTAATTTACCTTCAACGTCTGAAAATTCACTGCTGAAATATTCAAATAGGCATATTTATGACACCAGAATAACAATAACAATAACAATTATTACGATTAAGAAAGGGGTCTTGTAATGGCAATGATATAAAGTTCAGCTTAAAATTGGTCTTGGTCTAACCCCAGCTAGCTCTAACTCAAGCTTCTGGTCTAGCTCTTGCTCTTTCGATATTGCCGAAGGGCTTTTTGGGCATTATAACTGCTTCTCAAGTTTGTTCAGTCAACTGTTAACTTACTTGTAATTACAAACACCATATATACTAGATCAAAAGGTATCTAACCGATACTTTAACGTGGTATCTTTCAGGTTACTTAAGACCCCTAACTTTATCAATTTTATTTTTTTATGACCAAAAATTTATTAAATAATAATATCCATCTGTAGTACACAGATGCTTCTTGTGAGCTAGGTAGACATACGGTACCTCCTGGAGCTCTAAAACACTAAATCTTGCTCTTATGTGCCCTGTATGCACCTCTGCAGTTGCTAATTTCGTGAGATGGATTATTTATTGCTAAAGTTTGGTATCATGAGGAGTTATGATGTTGTAAATCATGAAAGTCAAATTTTGTGAGTGCTTGAATTTTATAGCTTAAATTAGGAATCAAAAAATTTTAAATAATATTCCGAAAAATTTTTAAAAATCACTTTGAAAAGCTTCATGTCTTGATTTAAGTATAAAAATTTTTTTATTAGTTTAAATAAATTTTACTTGATTTTAGAATTTTTTTTCTTAATTCAAGTTGAGCTAGTACCCTTGGTTAGAGATTTGCGGTTCAGAGTTTAATGAAATTTGATATATTAGCAAATTATAGTAAGATAATAAGCACAATTAACTTTTGAAATTGAGTTTTATGAGAAATGATAGTTTTATTTTATTTTACAAAAAGTACCGTTTAGATTTCAATAAAAATTGAGAAAATTAAAGTGAAAAACATATTATATATTTTTCACAATTAAAAATAAAGAGTATATATAGTCTTACACAGAAAAAAAGGTTCACTTGAGCCACACTGAAAAAAAAGTTTAAGTCCTATGGGTATACTCTTTTTTAATGAATTGGTATTGCGAATATAAATTTTAAAAAAATTAACATATTTGAGTGTATTGTGGTTATGAGTTTTGCGGTGGCGCTCAAAGTCGGTTTGTGTATGACTTAAACGAGTTTCAATGTAGCGCTTAAAAATATTGCATTGAGACTCAAATATTGTTTCAGTATATTCGCAATACCAAGTATTGTAATATCACTGAAATTTATAAGTGTGAGACTCATACTTTTTTTTCAGTGCAAGAAAATATTTTTCTTCCTAATTATTTTTTTAAGCGAAAAAAAAATTTTTTTTTGACACAAGAAATTTCACTTATTTCAACAAAATTAATTCTCTTGCTTTAAGAAGTACGTATCTTGATCCAAGAAAGTTTATTTAAGTCAAGAAAATCTTGTTTTGAGAAAATTTAGCCTCTTACTCCAAAAAATTTAGTTCTTGATAGAAGTAAATTTTCTTGTCTTGAGAAAATTTCTCTCTTGCTCCAAAAAATTAAATATAAACCCGTGTAAAAAAAAAATCGTCTTAAAATTGTCTTAAAATTGTCGTTCGTTTAAGATCTTAAACGTGACACAAACTAAGACTATTTTAAGACTCTTTTAAGATACCAAAAAAAAACATTCCGAGATTTTTTAATAATTATTTTGATTTTTTTAAGACTATTTTAAGATTTAAGTTTTAAAATAATTTTTAAATAGTCTTGAAAAATCTTAAAATTGTCTTAAAGAAATCTGAAAAAAAAAAATATTAAAAAATTTTTAGGCTATTTTCAGATAACAGCACAGTGGCAGCTCCGGAAAATTATTATGGAGCGTCCTTAAATTGTCTCAAAATTATCTTAAATTAGTCTTAAAAAAAATCTTAACAAAAAATTTAGACTATTTTAAAATGGGTTAACAGCGACAGAGCCCCGGAACATTAAAACGGAACGTCTTAAAAAAGTATTAAAATTGTCAGATAATAATTTTTTAACAATTTTAAATTAAATTTAAAAACATTTTACTCAAAAATATTGCGGTTAGAAAGTCGTAAAATCATCTAAAAATTAATTTTCACAACAAATTCGAAAACAAAATTTTCAAAAATCTGCTCTCGGAATTTTCCTTTTGGCGTCTTAAAAGAGTCTTAAAATAGTCTTAATTTGTGTCACGTTTAAGATCTTAAACAAACGACAATTTTAAGACAATTTTAAGAAAATTTTTTTTTACACGGGTGTAAATCTATAAATATTGTCAGAATCTTGTGTGTAAATATTGCTCTTCTCTAAAATACTACGGAACAAATTAGAGAGCTGATAGTAAACTATTTTACCAATTATAAAGCGTTTTTCACCGATGTATATTAACTTCCGTTTTCTTAAGTGGAATAGCTCCAATTTTTTACAAAATTGTAGTACATCATTGTTTACTTGATTAGCTTCTGACTTTAATTCTATTAGGCTGTCAAAAAGGGATAAAGCCGAGCAAATTTGTAATTGTGCATATCGAGTACCTTGCACTAAACGTCTATCAAATATAAAAATTTATTGTATCAAGTATTTATCATAATTTGAATTAAGAAAAAATTATTTCCACCAAGAATAGAATTTCAAGAAAAATTTTTACTTCGACCAACCCAACTTCGGTCTTCTTTCAGGTACCCGAAAATTTTCTTGAGCCAAGAATTCTCTTCTCCAGTCAAGAAATTTTTCTTTCTGTGTATATTAATTAATAAAAAAAACTTTTAAATTATCTTTGTCTCTCTTTCTCTAATGAGACTTTCCATAAAAAAATCAAAAACGTAAATCAAATAAGGCTTTGTTGTATCTGTGATACTACCTTAATTTTTTTTTTTTTTTCAATGTAAGTTTATATTTCTTATTTATTTTCTCTATAAACATATAAATCACTTGAATAAAATCCAGCGATCGATGAACAAATCAAAAAATGATAGGCTCTTTTGGCATTAGAAATGCGATGTATTAAAGCTTATGACTTATGAGTATAAGAAAAGGTATAAATACTATATGTTGAAGTCAAGTTTATTACAGTGCGAATAGCACGTGACCGGAAATATAAATATTTTAATATCAAATGTCAGCCGTATATCCTGCGAAATAAGAAATTTTTTTTTTATTGGAAGGAATTAAATTCTATTAAGTATCAAGCCAGACATTCGAATTATTCTATTCACCTGTAAGTTTATTACTTCGCTATAAATAAACAACATAAACTAGCAGATACGTGTTAACATTCCACGAAGCGCGACCCGAATGAATTCAAAACGTATTTAGCTAAAATTATACCAGTGAAATTAAATTCTATTTAAGTAGCAATAAATTTTCAACACTTATTTATATAAATTAATATCCATCGTAAGTTTACCAATAAGTTAATTTTTTTTCTTAATTAAACCTTGTCTTTTTTTTATAAATAAAAATAGTTATTTCTGTGCAATACATTTATTAGCTTCAGTAGTTTATCGGCGATACGCTCAGACAAGAACCGTAGTGTTAAAAAGTACGCGTGTGTTACAATTTACGGATAAAGGTAAATAAAAGAAGTTAAGTAATTGAAATTTATTGTTTAACTTTTTCACTTGTATTGACGATAAATTTTTTAATTTATAATAATAAAAGTTAATAAATTCATAATTAAAATAAAGTTGGGAAAAGTTAATTGCAATAATTAGTAATAAGTTTCTTATGTATTAACGTTGCTACTGCTTCATACTGTATTTAAATATATTATTTTATTGCATAAATTTTCAAGTTTTAGAGGAATACTTCTAATAATAATAATAATAATAATAATAATAACAATAATTAAACAGAGAAAAAAAATTAGCCTTCAAAAAAATATTCTTGAACTTAAATTAAGAGGAGGAAATTTCTGTAAAAAAAGGATCGACTCCCGGAACTCAAGCTTTAGAAACAATAATTTTTATTTAATGATGAAAATAGGGTTCTGCGCGACTGCTTGGAAACAAACGAACGTTTGAAAACAATAAAATACTCGGTCAAAAGATTAAATTCTTAAAAGAAAATTTTTTCGATCTTTATTCAAGAGTTATAATTTATTTTTATTAAAAAAAATCGGCCTAAAATTGTCTTAAAATTGTCGTTCGTTTAAGATCTTAAACGTGACACAAACTAAGACTATTTCAAGACTCTTTTAAGATGCCAAAAAAAAAAAATTCCAAGATTTTTTAATAATTGTTTTGATTTTTTTAAGACTATTTTGAGATTTTTTCAAGACGATTTTAAGATTTTTTTAAGACTATTTTAAGATTTGTTTTAAAATAATTTTTAAATAGTCTTGAAATTATCTTAAATTAGTCTTAAAAAATCTTTAAAAAAAATTTAGACTATTTTAAGATGGGCTAACAGCGACAGAGCCCCGGAACATTAAAACGGAACGTCTTAAAAAAGTCTTAAAATTGTCAGATAATAATTTTTTAACAATTTTAAATTTAATTTAAAAACATCTTACTCAAAAATATTGCGGTTAGAAAGTCGTAAAATCGTCTAAAAATTAATTTTCACAACAAATTCGAGAACAAAGTTTTCAAAAATCTGCTCTCGGAATTTTTCTTTTGGCGTCTTAAAAGAGTCTTAAAATAGTCTTAGTTTGTGTCGTGTTTAAGATCTTAAACGAACGACAATTTTAAGACGATTTTTTTTTACACGGGATAGAGAATTTTCGAATGCAGCCTAAATACTTATCATTATAAATTGACTATTGGCAAGAATGATATGAAACCATGAAAAGGCACAACTTCAGGTCAAGACTTTTCCAACGATACCAAATTTAACCATAAAAAACCCATTTTATTAATTAAATACCCTCGCCACAAAATTTTGCTTATTCTCTCAATATAATATAGATAATAAAACTTACTCGTCGTTTACCCTTGATACTTTCTAATTGATTATGAGTAATTTCACCAATACTCTGTGAGCCCCATAATTCAAGTCCAATTCTTGCGTACGTATAAGTCATCGATCCGATTGGCAAAAAATATGTCAGCACCATAAACAAAACATTATATCTGAAACAAAAAAAAAAATAATAAATTACATTATCGAAATTTAAAAATGATTGAGCGACTAATAGACTTAAGAATTTACAGTTAAAAAAAGGCAAAATTTAATATCAAGTTCCTAATTGCTCATGAAAGTTTCCGGCGTTACTAAAATTCTTCATCATAATATCAATTATTGGAAGAAAATCAAAACTTATTTTCTGTTTTTCTTATTTTAGCTCTTTGTAGACAGAGTGGGCTATCGTTAATAAAAAGAAAACTAAAAGAGAAAACTAAATTGAAAAAGAGTGTCGATGATAAAGGACAGAAGTACGTTCTATAACATTTTCGTTTAATTGCGCATTCTCAATTTCTAACCATACCACCAGTACCAGGAACTTTTAAATAAACGGTTCGCTGAGCATCGATTGCTTATTGGCTCCCTCTACTCCGACTGCTTGTAACAGTCGCTCCCGGAAAATATTTAAATTCAAAGATTAAATTATTTTTTTCTGTCTCCTATCTCAGAGGGGATCAGACAAAAATGTTTTACGAATTTTTTAATATTAATGAACAGATTATTACAGTATTGATTGTATTTAAATTGTAAAGCGGCTCATTACAGCACCGAGTTGCTGGGTAATTAGCTTTCGATGAATAATGATACGAATATGATTAATTAGAGTTTTTAATTATCTTTTTTAGTTTATTCCGCTTTGTAAATTAGCTTTTTTATCCTGATATTTTTTTTTAGATTTTAGGGTAGATATTTTAAGGGTTTATGAATTTATATCCATTAAAAATAATTAGGAGGTTTATTTTATGTAATGTTTAAGCTTTAAGGAATTATCTTTATAAAAATTAATTTTTTTTTAGGATAAAATTTTTATTTTTTTGAAACAGAAATATCTTCAACAGTTCTTAAATTCTCTTTAAAATTTATCCAACCTCAAATTCAATTAAAAATTACAACACAAAGAGAAATAAATTTCCACACTTTTATAAAAAAATTTAATTAAATACCACGGATATTTTCATCCCAACACAAAATCAATACTAATTCCAATTGCGGTAATATTCAAACGGCATGTTCCGTGAAATTAAACGAAGCAAAACTGAATCTAAGTTTTTTATTTTGACCTCAGAAATAAATATCGAGTGGCTCAAAGCTAATTGGGTTCTGTGTTACGTTCGATTTTGAAATTCCGAGGTTTATTATAAACTCAGTATCTAAAGGTAGAGATACATATAGTAGGCGGTTGGATTTCAATTCGGCTATTCCGATCGGTAAATGTTACTTTATTATCGCTAGTGTGTGAGTGTGCAGAAAAAAAATTACTTGATTTTAAAGAATCTTAGTTCAGAAAAATTATTTTGAAGGGAATTGGTCGTTTTGATTCAAGATTTTTTCGTCTTGAAATTCTTCTCTTAGTGCAGAAACATTAAAAAAAAAAAAAATCAAGAATAAAATTTCAAAAAAAAATATTTTTTTCAATTCAAATATATTTTTGTTTCTCTGCATAAAAATTACTAGCAACCTTGCAGTCACTATGTGACTGCCGTGACTTGTGAACTATAAATAAGTAAAATTTTGCTTTATTAAATAATGACTCTTGTTAAATTGCACAGTACTTTCTTAAATATTGACGTTTTCAAAGATATAAGCTTATCCCGATGTTACACTCATCAAGAACTTTCATTTGAGTACCCACATGCATTTTGATATATTTTTCATACATACATATATATATAAATATATAAAATATATGAAAAATTGATGTGGGTACTTAAATAAAAGGTCTCGATGAGTGCAATGTCGGGGTGAGCTTATATCTTTAAAGATGTCAATAGTTCACAAGATACCAGGTCATTATTTAATTATGTTAAATTACACTATACTTTCTTAACCATTGACATTTTTGAAGATCTAAGCTCACCCCGATGTTACACTCATCAAGGGCTTTCATTTGAGTACCCACATGCATTTTGATATATTTTTCATATATACATATATATATAATATGTATAAATATATGAAAAATTGATGTGGGTACTCAAATGAAAGGTCTCGATGAGTGTAACATCGAGATGAGCTTATATCTTTAAAAATGTCAATAATTCTCAAGTTACAAGGTCATCTTTTAATTATGTATCTAGAGATAAAGCATTTTCAAATGCAGTCTAAATAATCATAATAAATCGCTTATTTTTGCTTGGCCACAAAATTTTGGTTATTCTCTTAATCATATAGATTATTATTTGTAAAAATTTAAAAATTCAGAAACGTAAATATGATATAAATTATAGTGATTTAATAATAATTAAACACTCAGAAGTATAAAAAAAACGGTAAATAATAAGAACCATGAAAAGGATGTTAAATCAGGATAAACTCCTTTAAATCTATTTACTTTTATATCTTAGATACGATTAATATTATAAGATTCAAGAATTTTTGCAATGACACTAAATTTCACTAAAAAAACCGATTTTATCATATGAGTATCCTGGACACTAAATTTTTCTTATTCTTTTAATAATATAAATTACAATTAAATTTAAAAAATGTCCTTTGAAACTAAAAGAATCACTATTTTTTATAATTGCATTTTCCAAAAATATTTTTTAAAGTAAATTTTTTGTCAGGTGCTCAGAACTCCTTTAATCCCAACAAAAAATTAACTTTTCAACAATTCTATTGTGTGAAAAAAAATTACTCCAATATTATAGGAATGGTTCCTATAATGGTTCCTATATATTATGGGAATCATGCCGATATTACAGTTATAATTATAGGTATCGTTCCTATAATTATAGGAACCATTCCCATAATTATAGTAACGTTTCCCAAAAATTATGGGTATAATTCCCATAATTTAAGTAATCGCTCCTAAAATGGTATAGGAAAATATTTCATTAAAATTATAGGAATGATTTCCATATTTTTCTTTCCGTGTAGTTTTTCGACAGTATTTTTCTTCAATAATCCAGTAATTTTTTTTTCATAATATAATACTTTAAACTCGGTCTATATTAGCAACATCATATGACATATTTAAACAATATCAACATGATAATAGGATCCCTTAACAGTTTCCTTGTCATCTGACGAAGTACAAGCCGATTTGAATAGCAACAGTCACGGTTGAGCTTTTACGCCACTAATGACCCGTATGTAACTATAACAATAATCATAATGATAATTATAATTATAACGACTCTTGTCAGCAACTTCATGTAACTTTCTGTCCCTTTTAGTTCAAAACAAGACTCTCCTACTTTGCTGAGGAACATCCGTTCAATCTGTCTTTGCCACTACGGTCTTTGGGATCTTCTTCACTCATCGGGGTTCCCAGAACAGAAGCTAATAAGGCAAAGGCTAAAGGTATCCCCTTACATGTAACATTTAACTCTTGCTATTTATTCCCCGTACAATATTCAACTTAAAGAGTAGTTTTGTACTATAATTATAATTATTCAGTAAATAATGTTTGAAAATTTAGGCCTAGAGACGCTTGAAAGCACGCATTACTTTTGACGGGATTAAGATCACTCAACCAGACGACAAGAGACCTGTTTTCAAAAGGGATCAACATCACAATGCAGTCAGGTGACGGATCTATTTCAATTGCTGAGGTTACGTTGTCAGTTTGTGTTATCAATTATAAATAAATATTTTGATGCAGTTGTACGCCTTCCCGCATGGAGAAATATATATGTCAAAAATATATGTCGCATACATAATATATATGCCGCATATATTTATGCAAAAAAAAAAATTATGTCAACATATATTTTTCACATAGATGCTGACATATATGCTTACATATATGTAGACATATATGTAAGCATACACTGAAAAAAAATTTCTAAGTTTGAGAATTTTTTTACTCAAATCAAGAAAGTTAAATTTTGAAAAATTTAACTTTCTCGATTCAAGTTAAGTTTTTTTCCGTGTATCTCTAGACACATATGCGCACATATATGTAAACATATATGCACGCATATATGTGAACATATATCTACGCATATATGTGAACATATATGCGGACATATATTTAGCGCAAAAAAAATATATGTGAAAATATATATTTGCATATATTTTTCGCATATATATTTTTCCATGCGGGTTATAATGCGAAGCGTTTTACTCACTTGTATATATCAAGATAAGACTAAATAATCCATCTCATATTTTATAAAATACACGAAAAAAAGTAAACTGTACACTGAGAAAAAAGTATTTTGATAATCACAATACTTGTGAAAAAAGTATTCTGATAATCACAATTCTTGGTATTCTGATAATCAAAATACCAAGTATTCTGATTATCAGAATACTAGTCAATTCAAGACATATACTCTGCGCAGTAAACTATAATACATGCGCTGTCACTGCCATCGACGTTTTAACACTAACAGTCAGTTTATTTGATTTATGCACTGGTAAAAATAGAATTCAACTAATATTTATTATATTAGCTTGAAAAAAATTTATTATTACACTTTTAATTTTAATTTTAATTTGTTTTGTTAGCTTTATAAGTCAATTGATTTGTGCCAGTAAAGTGAGGTTATAAACATCTAATAGTCTGTTATATTG